CATTGTATCTGATTTATCACTTTCACGGGTTTATTACGAATCAACTTAACGGCCTGCTCCCAGTTGGCTTGTTAGTTCAATTGGTAGAGCGCTGCACTAGTATCGCAGAGGTCAGTGGTTCGAATCCCGTACAGGCCTGATTTTTTTCAGGTCTGATTTTCGCTATTGCTTAAATAGCGCTATCTACTGCGAGGATCGTGCATCATACGTATCTAATACCGCAGTTCAAAATATATGAACTTCATATATTTCATTGTATCTGATTTATCACTTTCACGGGTTTATTACGAATCAACTTAACGGCCTGCTCCCAGTTGGCTTGTTAGCTCAATTGGTAGAGCGCTGCACTAGTATCGCAGAGGTCAGTGGTTCGAATCCCGTACAGGCCTGATTTTTTTCAGGTCTGATTTTCGCTATTGCTTAAATAGCGCTATCTACTGCGAGGATCGTGCATCATACGTATCTAATACCGCAGTTCAAAATATATGAACTTCATATATTTCATTGTATCTGATTTATCACTTTCACGGGTTTATTACGAATCAACTTAACGGCCTGCTCCCAGTTGGCTTGTTAGTTCAATTGGTAGAGCGCTGCACTAGTATCGCAGAGGTCAGTGGTTCGAATCCCGTACAGGCCTGATTTTTTTCAGGTCTGATTTTCGCTATTGCTTAAATAGCGCTATCTACTGCGAGGATCGTGCATCATACGTATCTAATACCGCAGTTCAAAATATATGAACTTCATATATTTCATTGTATCTGATTTATCACTTTCACGGGTTTATTACGAATCAACTTAACGGCCTGCTCCCAGTTGGCTTGTTAGCTCAATTGGTAGAGCGCTGCACTAGTATCGCAGAGGTCAGTGGTTCGAATCCCGTACAGGCCTGATTTTTTTCAGGTCTGATTTTCGCTATTGCTTAAATAGCGCTATCTACTGCGAGGATCGTGCATCATACGTATCTAATACCGCAGTTCAAAATATATGAACTTCATATATTTCATTGTATCTGATTTATCACTTTCACGGGTTTATTACGAATCAACTTAACGGCCTGCTCCCAGTTGGCTTGTTAGCTCAATTGGTAGAGCGCTGCACTAGTATCGCAGAGGTCAGTGGTTCGAATCCCGTACAGGCCTGATTTTTTTCAGGTCTGATTTTCGCTATTGCTTAAATAGCGCTATCTACTGCGAGGATCGTGCATCATACGTATCTAATACCGCAGTTCAAAATATATGAACTTCATATATTTCATTGTATCTGATTTATCACTTTCACGGGTTTATTACGAATCAACTTAACGGCCTGCTCCCAGTTGGCTTGTTAGCTCAATTGGTAGAGCGCTGCACTAGTATCGCAGAGGTCAGTGGTTCGAATCCCGTACAGGCCTGATTTTTTTCAGGTCTGATTTTCGCTATTGCTTAAATAGCGCTATCTACTGCGAGGATCGTGCATCATACGTATCTAATACCGCAGTTCAAAATATATGAACTTCATATATTTCATTGTATCTGATTTATCACTTTCACGGGTTTATTACGAATCAACTTAACGGCCTGCTCCCAGTTGGCTTGTTAGCTCAATTGGTAGAGCGCTGCACTAGTATCGCAGAGGTCAGTGGTTCGAATCCCGTACAGGCCTGATTTTTTTCAGGTCTGATTTTCGCTATTGCTTAAATAGCGCTATCTACTGCGAGGATCGTGCATCATACGTATCTAATACCGCAGTTCAAAATATATGAACTTCATATATTTCATTGTATCTGATTTATCACTTTCACGGGTTTATTACGAATCAACTTAACGGCCTGCTCCCAGTTGGCTTGTTAGCTCAATTGGTAGAGCGCTGCACTAGTATCGCAGAGGTCAGTGGTTCGAATCCCGTACAGGCCTGATTTTTTTCAGGTCTGATTTTCGCTATTGCTTAAATAGCGCTATCTACTGCGAGGATCGTGCATCATACGTATCTAATACCGCAGTTCAAAATATATGAACTTCATATATTTCATTGTATCTGATTTATCACTTTCACGGGTTTATTACGAATCAACTTAACGGCCTGCTCCCAGTTGGCTTGTTAGCTCAATTGGTAGAGCGGCTGCACTAGTATCGCAGA